GTAGGCACCTGACAGCCAGTCAAGGTGAAACCACCACACTGACTCAGAATAAACCTGGTTCAAATGTGTTCTGTTTTATCTATGTTATCCATTCATATTTCATTACAGATTAGAACACACTGTTGTGCTTGCTTATGTCTTCTTTTTCTGGACCCAACATATACATTAATATTGGTTTTCAGTCATGATGGTTTGCTAACTGTGATGTTCATGTTTCTCTTAGCCCCACAATGACTGATTGTTTCAACCTCCTCATTGTATCAGATACTTACAATCTAATACATGCTTTTATGAGTTGCTCTTCTCCCACTAGTCTATCTATTAGCTTGATTTGGCATAGAGTTTTATCTGTCACTATCTTACTCCAACTGCCATTAGTATTAACATTTTTTCTATTTTTTCCTTATACATTTTATTTTCTGTAAATAAAAGCAAATCCATCCTATTGAAGCTGTTTCACTTTTTATTTAAAACAGTTAAATATTCATTAGTTTCAGGAGTCCTGGTGTCATTTGTGGTTTTGTTCAGTGATTATTAACATAAAATGCATTAATAATCTTGGCATCAAGACTGACTCCAGATTATTTCAGAACTTCAGGTAAATAGATGCTCAGTGATATTTAAAAGTTGGAATAAGAAACTGAAATTCAGAATGGGTTATTGTTTTACACAAAACAGTGGAATTAAGGAACATACACCCTGTGCAAAATATCACAAAGCATCTAAATAATTTAAAAATGTTTAGCACTCTACGTAAAATTATTATCTTACTCTTCTACAAGCTTTTTTTTGCTTTACATTACCCAAAGTTAACAACTCATTAGGTCTAATAAATAGTAAATGACTTAACAATTTGTTCTACATCTATCAATTATTATAACTATATATTAGCTACATAACAATTATCTGCAATTTAATAAATAAATAATGATTACCTACTAAAATGATTACCTACTAAAATAGTAATAGCTTAAACCTTAAAAATACACAGTTGATCTACAGATATACTATTTGGTTGATTAGGCTCATTATTCATGGAAAAATAAGTATAACAATAAAATATCATGATATTGCTGAAATGAAAGAACTGACAATTTATATTATCATAAAGAGATAATACAGAAATTAATACTATAAAGAGAAAATTATTACAGTATTTAAACTGTTGTGGATCTATCTTTAAACTGTAGTGGATCTATCTTTGAATAATGGCCAATTTATAAATATTATCCATTCAGATTTTTGTCTCATTCTAGAGATTAACTTGTTATCTCCAATTTAGCTACTGAATTTTTCAGCTACGTATTACTTCTGTGTGCCATATGAACATAGCAATTATGCTATAAGTAAAGATGAAAGGAGACCCATTTGTCAAAACCTTTAAAAATTAATGTTTTATATTAAAATTTCTTTATGGAGAACTAAAGGGGAAGGCAAAGGAAAACCTGTGTTGAAATTATATTAAACACTAAAAACTATCACTTACCAACTTTTCCCCCGAGAACTTCTATTTGCAGATAAATATTTGACTGTGACATATATAGTCTACTATAGTACTGCCAGGAGGATATTCCCTCAACTTTTTTCAGTTTCAGTTAAAATCAATACATGGCTAATCTGTATTTATAAGTCATCTTTAAATATGTTTTTTGCATAAACTGAGATTATTTTAGGTAAAACACTGTTCACACTGTCTAACAATTTTAAAAAGATACATATATTGCATTTGTCTTACAGTATAAAGGGTCCTGAGTAATTATCCACTGAAGTCAATGGCTTCAATAGGACTGGAGCACAATTCTATACTTGGGGAATTTTATACAGCAAGTGTTATATGTTGGTCTTACAGCACATAGGATAACATACATGTATTGGTAAATTCAGTGTGTCTGGAAACTTCTACACTGGATGTGGCTTTGTAACAATGATAGAATCATGGAATGGTTTGGATTGGAAGGGACCTTAAAAATGATCTAGTTCCGACACCCCTGTTGTGGGTAGGCACACCTTCTACTAGATCAAGTTCCAACCTGGCCTTGAACACTTCTAGAGAGGGGGCATCCACAGCTTCTCTGGGCAACCTGTTCTAGTGTCTCATCAGCCTCACCGTGAAGAATTTCTTCCCTATATCTAATTTAAATCCACCCTCTTTCAGTTTAAAATTGTTACCCCTTCTCTTATCACTATACTTCCTGATAAAGAGTCCCTCCCCATATTTTCTGTAGGTCCCTTTTTAATACTCGAAGGCTGTTATAAGGTCTCGCTGGAACCTTCTCTTCTCCAGGCTGAACAACCCCAGCTCTCTCAGCCTGTCCTGATAGGGTAGTTGCTCCAGCCCCTCAGTCATATTTGTGGTCCTCCTCCGGACCTACTCAGAGAGGTCTATGTCTTTCCCAGGCTGTGGGCTCCAGAGCTGGACACAGTACTCTTAGTGAGGTCTCACAAGAGCAGAGTGCAGGGGAAGAAACACCTCCCTCGACCTGCTAGTCACACTTGTCTTGATGCAGCCGAGGACACGGTTGGCTTCCTGAGCTGCGAGTGTACATTGCTGTCTCACAGTTAGTTTTCCATCCACTAATATCCTCCAAGTCCTTCTCTCCAGGGCTGGTCTCGGTCTACTCATTGCCCATCCTGCATCTGTGCTTTCAATTACCTCAATCCAGGTGTAGGACCTTGTACTTGGCCTTGTTGAACTTCATGAGGTTTGCATGGGCTCACCTCTCAAACCTGTCAAGGTCTCTCTGGATGGTATCCCTTCACTCCAGCATGTTGACTGCACCTCACATCTTGGTGTCGTTGGCAAATTTGCTGAGAGTGCACTCAATCCCACTTTCCATGTTGCCAACAAAGATGTTAAACAACACTGGTTCCAGTACTGACTCCTGAGGAACACCACTCGTCACTGCTCTCCACTTGGCCATCAAGCTAGTGACCAGAACTCTTTGAGTGTGACTGTCCATTTAATTCTTTATTCACTGAGTAGTCCATCCATCAAATCCATGTCTCCCCATTTTAGAGACAAGGATGCCATGCGGGAGAGTGTCAAATTCTTTGCACAAGGCCAGATAGATGAGGTCACATCAAGGTGGAGTCTTGGACTAAGCCAGTACATATCCTAAGAGAGCACACATCATTCCTAAATGTTTTCAAACTTAGCATATAAACCTACAGAAAAATACATAGGACCTGACAAATACAAAGGAACGAATGAAAGGACTCAGTAACTGCAGATTTGCAGTAGTATTTTAAAGTAAGGCAGGTGTTCCTCCAGTCTAACTAATGACAGTCACTAAAAACAAACAAAAAAATACTGAACAGAATTTATTTTAGTATTTGCCATGTATTTTTCCTCTTTTTTAACAGAAATAAAAGTTTTCCTGTGTTTTATCATGCATATAAAGTTTAACATTATAATAATAATTATAATTTATTTTCCTCATGTCATCAGAAAAAGGAAATAGATGTCATTTCTATGACATATTAAAATTTGCCTTACCTGTAAAGAACTCAGATTACCTTTCAGTGGATTAATAGGCATTCTATGAATCTGCTCACTGCCTCTTTTTATTAACTGTTTTTCTCTTACACATAAGTTTCACTACTGTTAAAATTACACAACTGTGAAGTAATTAGACTGAAAAGGGTATTATACAAATATGTTATACTAAATGTGATTATTTTTGTTTACTTACATTTGAAATACTATATTTAGATGTCAGATTTTACATATTTTCTTCACAGTTTAAAAGTATATATACTTGACATTTTGTGTTCAAATTTGCTGTCATAAGGAACTTCAAAATCATTTAATAAAATGTTCAAGTATAACCTTAGATTTCACAGAAGATCATACCATTATTTGGGATGGAAAGAAATGCTATATCAGCTATCTCTTACCTTATTACTTTTCATACTGTATCATGCCATTGAAATCAAGGATGACATACTCTATCAAACATGTCAGTTAAGCACGTGAAACTTGTAAATTTTAGGTTGAAATGTTTAAAAAGTCTACTGATTAAAAACCAAAACTAAAATATTTGGATTGCTTCTGTACAATTCCAGCAAATAATTAGACAGGTGAATGTCAAAGCTAATGAATCGCAGCAGAGCAGTCCCTTAAGGACAGTAAAAACCTCCTGTCACATGTACTACTCATGACTTTGAACAAGTAACTGAAAATATCAATATTTAACGTAAAAATCATCATTTATTTATGAAGTGTCATAAGTGGGAACAGCACTTTATAGATAAACAGAAAGATAAGATTCTAACCTTCTGCTTTAACATTAGAGCTATAAATGATTTTTTTCATAATGGCATAATTTGAGTGGGTGCAAACATGCAAATAAAACAGAGAAGATATGCTTTTCTTCTTCACATATTAAAATATTAATTAATTATTAATTTTAAAAAAAGGAAATTCCATGTTCTTTCTCTGTATTTCATAGGCCATTCTGCTTCAGACAACACATTCCTCAGCCAGATGTGCAAACCTTCCTTTTTTATCGTATTGACTTCCTTCAAAGGTATGCTTAATTTTGTCATTTTTAAGGAATACTGATTAGTGTTAAAGATAATTCGCATTGAATAAATATCTCTATACTATTGCTCTCTATTGCCAAAGACAGACAGTAATTTTTAAAGGTCAGTTCATAAAATACTGGTTTAAGAACTTTTCCTTTTTGCTACAATTTGGCAACTATGTATAATGGGTTTTTTATGCCCCCTTACAGATAATGTCCTATAACATTATGTCTTGGTTCAGGCTGGAATAGAGTTCATGTTCGTTTTTGGCAGCTGGAGGAGTGCTGATGCACACTGAGATTTCATGGACTCTCCAGCTCTGCGTGCCCTGCCTGTGTGCGGATGTGTGGGAGGTGGGGGGGAGCACAGCTGGAACACCGGGCCTGGATTAGATGCTATTCCATGTCATGTGAAATTATCCTCACCATATAAAGGAAGGAGTGGGCGGGAAGGCATGCTCTCACTTCCGGGATTGTTGCTGCTGTGTTTCAGGGTCGCTAGATGGGAACAGGCAGGTGTTGGTCGGCGGGTGGTGAGCAATTGTATTGTACATTACCTGTTTATACTGTAACCATATTATTTTATTACTCTTATTAAACTGTTTTTATCTCAACTCCCAAGTCTCCCTTTGCCCCTCCGATTCCCTCCCCCATTCCCAAGTAGGGGAGGGTGGGTGAGCAGCTGCGTGTCATTTAGCTGCCGACCAGGCTTAAACCACAACACATTACATCCAATTAAAATCCAAAGTTGTGTCTAAAGAGAAAATCTAACAACCTATGTTTGATAGTTTCATTAGCAATAGATAAGCAAAAAATACTTCTTGCATAATAAAAGTATAAATATTCAAAAATGTCTCTAAAAATTTACACAAGTATAGTACTGGAAATATTCACCTTGCACACCCATGGCCTGTTGTGACAAAGGTATTCCCCTGCAATAGGAACCAGTAAAATATCTTCCATTCTTTTAAAACTCCAGAGATAAATTAAGCCTCACAAGGTTTCCACTCTTGGCAGTGCAGTAGCAAAAAATGTTTAGAGAAGTCCAGAGGACATGTCTATGTGTGAGGGCAGCCACAACACTGTCCCAGATGGGGTGAGCTGTAGGCTGGAGAGACACAAGAGTGAGATTTCTCCATTCCTACACAAGCACACTAGTTCTTAGCTCAAATCCTCTCATGCAGGTTTTGTTTTGTTTTGTTTTGGTTTGGTTTGTTTTTTTTTTTTTTGTTTGGTTTGGTGTATGTTTGTTTTTTTTTTTTTTTTCTGAAGGAAATGAACTGAACCAACCTTTCATTTTCTGTGGACTAGTTAGGCAATGAAATCCCAGAGTGCTTTTTGTTTGGACCTATAACCTCATGAGCCCTATTTGGAGCTACAGGTAGGCACGCACTTACCTTTGGGAAACAAATGCTTTCTTTGTCCCTTCTTTTTTGGTTAGTTCAAGCAGAGCTATTTTCTACTTAACCAATCATAGAGGACTTTGAAAATCCTTTGTCTACGACATAAAAATTCTTTAATCTATCATATGACAACTCAGTAATTTATTTTGGTCATGAGGTACTCAGTAATGTGAATTCCTTCGGGGAAAAAGGGAACTTGGAGTGAGATATGCTGAGCATCTTCTTGTTTTGATTTTGTCCCAAGCTGATAGGGGGAAGATAACAGCAATCAGGCTCTCACTTCTGAGAAATAAGACTGTAGCTATATCTCTTTTTTAATTGGAAACTTTGAAGTATGAGCATGTGAAAACACTTCTGTCTATATGGTTAAAAACACATGCTACTTTACAAATAATTTATATCTTGAAATATGACTATTTTACTGAAGAATTAACTTTTCAGTTTGAAACTAGAATAAGTCTTTTAAACATAGTTTTGTAGTTGAAATGTTTCTATTGATCATGCAGTGCTATGGAAGGTATGTTAGACATACTTTTAATATATTTCTCAGCTAAAAGTTTACAGCTTTCCTTTAAAAATATTACACATTCCGTTATTCATGAGACATCTGATTCAATTTCAGGAATATTTACCTAATCTAAAATAAGAAGGTTTATTTGTTACATGAGGCCAGATGTTGACATCAAGGGGCTGAGGGGGCAGCCTCTGTTTGTTGAGGCAGGGGCTGCCCCATGCCCAGTGCAGCCGGTTCCAGATGATTCCAACAGACCCATCACAGGACACAGCTGACTTCCTCAGCCAAGATGGTGATACCTCAGTGAAAATATGTTTAAGATAGTGCAGAAAAGTCAGGAGTGAAAGAGTGGAGTTCAGCATGGGAAAGGGGAGAGGAAAGGTGGTGTTTTAATGTTTGTCTTTTTGTTTGCCACTCTACAAATATTTTAACTGTCAGTAAACCATGATGGCAATTGGCAAGTGATCTCCCTGTCTTTATATCGACCCATGAGTTTTCTCATTCCTGTTCTTCCTATTTTCTCCACCCATATCACTGAGAAGGGGAGTGAGTGAGTGGCTGAGCGGGATTTTGGCTGTTAGCAAAGGTTAGTCTCCTCGAACACACACACACACACACACACAGAGTCCTTTTTGATGTCTAATGTGGGGCTCAAGAAATTCTAGAAAGTGACAGTAGTTGTTAAATGATCTCTCTGACTTTATCTTGACTGATAAGCTTTCTCATTCCTTTCCTTACCGTTTCTGTCCCCTCATCCCCCTGGGGTAGGGGAGGAGTGAGCTTGGTGGGGGTTTGGCTGTTAGCCAGGGCTAACCCACCACAGAGTGCTTACCATGCCTGATTCTATTTCTGAATATACTTGAAGAAAAAAACACGTCAAAATATTTTTATAGGATTTTGGAGTTACTTATATTTTGAATGATGATACATAATTATATCCTTTCGTTATAGCAGGTGCATCATCACATTTCTCTTGAAATTTCCACAATCAATCTGAAAAACAACACAAGTTCCTTTGACATATAAAACAGTCCTGTGAATAATGCTATCTAAGAACTTTTGTGTTCAAAGTTTTCCACCTAAATCCACCTGTCTAGTGTCCATGCCCAGACCCTGTGTCCCTTTTATACAACCTCAAGCTCTGAGCTCATGTCTGGTCTCCTGCATACCAGTTAGTCCACCCTGAAGTTCACTTCTGAATCACGCATTTACCCACATACAGAAAAGAGAGCTAAATCACACAGAAAATAGAGTTTAATACATTTTATAAAACTTATAAATCTAATATCACTGCGGTGATGAGGACAGGGCTTGGCCACACAAATGTACTGATCAGCATTCTACTTAAATGTGATGTTTTATTCCCCTCCTGCTCCCCATTTTCCCATGGTTTTTCCTCCCTGATCCAAATTTTTCCATCCGTTTTACCACCTTTGGCCCTTCCCCTAAGCACCCCACAGTAGTTTTGCACATTTCCACAATCCTGTTAAAATATCCCCTACCAAGTTTTTGCTAATCCCACTGGGCCCCTCATATATCTGGTAAAAAGTGTATTCTTGCTCATAAGTCCCATGGTAATCTTGTTTCTCCCTTCCTAAAGGTTACAAAATTATAGTTGAGCTTCTTCAAGGTGATGCTTGGATGACTCTGACAGTAGTCCATTCATCAGTCACCCAGGAGTTCTCACTTTTGCAATAGCCCCTGTTATCTCCTAATTGTTAAGGTTTGTGTATTTACTTACTATTTTTCCTGTCTCTTGATTCTGTTACTATTGAGTAAATTACTCAAAAAATACTCTCACAAAACAAATATCCTTACATTCCAAATATTCACATATCCTTTAACTTCCACATGTCTTTACAGAGCTGACCCCATGACTTTAATCTTACCAATACAAAAGGACTAGGAGAAATAAAGTGCTAGCACATATAAAACAAAACATACAGTGAACATGAAGTACTGTAATAATGAACTGAGAAACTGATTAAATTCAAGCTATATGGAGGCTGTTCTCTAGGATCATAAAATAAGCATTTTTTCTATTTATTTGTTTTATTTTTTATTTACTTTAATCAGATTCAGCATAGAATTTTCAGTGCGGACAAAAAATTAATAAAAAACTAAGTGAATTTTAGTCAGTTGACTGTGCTATAGTTTTGCTAGCAAAACAAAGACTAATTCTAAGCTTAAAAAACATTTTATGTCAAACTAGAATAAAAAATAAAGTTAATATTAGAATATTTCATTCTTTAAAATGATAGAATGAGGAAGTAATAGACAAAAACTATCTCCTGGAAACAATGCATTTCATAAAATCTGTATAACCTTTTTTTCTCAAGAGATCTATGCTTATATTTATTAAATTTAATAGTTTGCATGGTATGAACTGTTCAGAGACTCATATTTCATAATCTTCAGTGTTTGTTTTCTATAACAATATAACTCATGGTAGATGTATAGATGAGGTGATATGTGTTGAACTTCTAAACAGTTTCTTCGTTCTTTTATTTCTGTCTTTGTAGCTTGCATCAAAAACTCACTATATCTCCTTAAACTCAGCATCTGATTCATACGCTACATTAAAACCACTTTCAGTACATTTGTGATGGTGACATTAAAAGTTGAAAGTTGTTTATCTGCCTAAGTTTCCCAATAAATCTCTATTCTACTTAACTGAATAATAGTGTTAATTCTGTAGGGAGAAAGTCTTACTTCAGATGTGAAGCACTCAGAATGTCTTGGATTTCTAAGTAACACACACAATTTTGTCCTTGGTATGCAGTGATTGCAGCTAGTATATTTACCAGCACTACTATGCTTCTGAGATTAAAAATATATATATATATATATATATGTATGTATATGCAAATACTGGAGAAGGCTATTTGTGGCAGAGGTTTTGTGGAGACAGAGAGGAGAACTGAGAGCAGACATCATGCTTTGTGTGTCCCCCAACAAACCATATTAGAAGTAGTCAGAAAAAGGAAACTTCATGATGACAACTAAACTCTGCTGTCTCAGATAATTTACACTCCTATTTATCTTCTCTAGTTGTTCCTGTTTCAGAAGATATGAACTCTTGCCAAACCACCAAGTGCAGTCCCCAATGTTTTCTGTGTTGAGTTTTTAAACATCAAGTTTGCAATACAACTTGAATCTGCTTCTGACTTGATTTATGTTCAATACTTTCATGTGAATTCACAGTTGATTGCATGTGGTCAGTGTCCAGGCTCCACTAAAACTCATGTATTGTACCTGTACATGTGTTAAAGCTGTGCTGCATCTCTTTCCACATCCAGGGAGCCATCCTTGTTGAAAATTGAAGAGAGGGAAAGTGATAAAGATGTGGACACCAGACTGAAGACTGAAAAGAGAAAGAACTGACCATGAACTGGGACAAAGCTAAATGCACTGTATCTAATCTACCTATAAAATCAGAACTCTGAGACAGAGTAAATGTAAGAAATTCTGCCAGGATACACCTCCAAGTAGAAAACCCAAAAATACGGCCCTCCTATCTTCTGGGTATGTAAATTTATTACAATATGCCAACATATACAATATTCAGCTCTGGATAATTATGAAACAGATCATTAACTGTTCTAAACTGTCATATCTCTTAGGATCCAGGATGATATGTGAAATCATGTTAACACAGCTATGGATGTACAAGAAAAAAAAAAAAAAAACAACCTACACTAGTAAATAATACCAGTGTATCAGGAAAATATGACATCAGAAAAGATTGTGCTGTATAAAGTCAGAAAAGCATATTTTGCATGCTTCTTTATACAGGTAAAAAGGTTAACACAAATATTTAGGTAGTGAAAATATTTATTCAGATTGCATATTTCTACATTTGTAAAGAGGCTACACCTTTTTTTTCTATCCTGAAATTAATGAGGATCGTGAACTACAATAAAATCACCACAGGACTTCTGTCCTTCATTCTCTAAGCATAGCAGAATATAACAGGAACTTGTTGATATATTGTGAGAAAACACCAAGGAAAGATGACTAAAGTTCTCACTAACCTATTATGGAATTATAAAAAAACTTCATTTAGGAAGACTATTCAACCACTATGGAGTATACTGAAGATGAATTCACACCACATGGGCAGTTAAAATTTGGAAAAAATGCTCTAGTTAGAAAAGATGAGAATTGCTTGTCCAGATCAGTATCAACATGGAAGAAGGGTGAGTCAGTGCCACAGCATGACTTTTCATTAGGTGTTCATACCTGAGGTCTCCCTGCAGGGAGCATGCTCTAAGAAAAATTGATGTAGTTAAGAATTTTGGCACCATTCCTGATTTTTTACCATAAGCATACAAGCAAGTACAAATTAATGATTTCCTTTTCTGGTTTTGGTTGTGTTTTTTTTTTTGTTGTTTTGTTTTGTTTTGTTTTGGTTTGGTTTGGTTTGGTTTTTTTTTTTCTTTTTGTTTTTGTTTTTTTTTTTTTTTTTTTTGTTTTGTTTTGTTTTTTGTTTTTTTTTTTTTTTTTCCAAAGCAGCATATGATTCCTGGATTCAAGTGTTATATGTGTCACAGACAGCTTTTCATCGTTCTAGAATAAAAAGAAAACAGGAAGCACATTTAATGCCTGTAACCTGTACCACAAATGCAGCAACTACTCCTTCCTCCTGGTATATTTGGGAGTGTACATATGTCAGGCTATTTACTCCTCTTGTACATATTTGAACTGAAGCTAACCTTTGAAGAAACAGTTATATTAGGACATTATATCCTGTATCTTTCCTACTAACAGAAAATTTTTTATGGCTAGAAAATATTGTTGGAAAAACAAATAAATCTACCGACTTTTCAAGAATAAAGTTGGTCAGAAATTTTCTGGGGATTTCTTTATAGTAATTACTATTCAAATCATAAATAAGCTTCAAAACATTTTAAAATTGATTAATTTTAAGCAACCTCACAGCACAGTTCCAGATGAAACATAGACAAACTTGGGCAAAGAAGTTCTTAGGAAGCAGCATAGACGTGATTTATTTTCTTAGCTCATTTTGTCAATGCCTTTTGATAATGAAAGTAACCAAGAAGTAAGTATTTATTTCAATTAATAAAAAATATTTATTTTTTTCTATCAGTGTCTATAAGCATATGAGAAATATATGTATTTCTTTGGTTATATTCTGTCTTCTATTAAATAAATGGGATTTTGACAATTACTTAAATGAACCTAAAGTAACACCCATTTTCTCCATTATACAGTTTAAAACAAAAATGAGTTTAAAACAAAGTAAGTTAAAAGCCAGAATCAAGTATAAGGAAGCTACATCTGAAAATAAAAATATCTCAGCAGAGAAATATTTTATATACTTCGTCTTAAAGTGTTTTGCTTTGTGACCTAGGTTTATTGTTTGTAACGGATTAGTTTTCATGTGAAAAAGAACTTTGGCAGGGTAAATGTATTGATGTTGCATAACAGTTTGTATATGTAATACATTGTACTGACAGATGATAAATGATATTCATGACAATTGATGCTATTGGTGTGGGATTAAATCACATTGGCTTTCTTATAAGCCATACTCATTTACATTTTGTTTGTAACACTCTTATCAGTTAAATGCAATAAGCATTTAAGTTACAGCTTGAAAATATATTGCTTTAAATAAATATTGCATTTTTATTATAAATAATTGCATGAGAAAATATTTTTCTTTTTAAAATTTGTCTCTGGTTTAATTTTCTTGTCATACATGGCTTTGCTTAGGGGGTTAACTTTTCTTAATTTAAAAGTAGGAGTGATAAAATAATTATCAGGTTTTCTGTCATCAACCATGTTTCAGCATTACATTCTGGAGTATGACTGAAACACTGATTTGTGTATGAAAGATACGAAATTGACAAGGTAAGTATATTCAGTAGATTTTGGATAATGTGTAAATGACAATGATTTTCTTACTCCTCGCTAATTAGTAACACGCAAGCCTATTCTATCATATATAATTGTGGCACAGAAATATAATTTCAGAATACTGAATCAGTAAAAACATGAACATTTAAAGTAAGTAGAGCAAATTGGAATCAAGCCCTATGTATTTCTCTTGGCAAAACTGAAATGGAGGATAGAACAAGTTCTGACAGGTCTTTCACAACAGTTTTGCTTGAACAACTGAGTCCTAAATTACCCAAACTAGAAAAATTGGAAAAACACAAGGTTTCAGATGTTATCCTATGAATTACTACATGTACTGGGAGGCTTTATGCCTGTCATTTCCTATACTCTGCAAAATCCCATGACATACAGCCTCCTGCTGTTGATTTCCTACCTATACAGCAGACATGAATTATCAATTTAATAACAAGATGATATGCACAGTAGAGCTACTCGCTATCCCTTTTATATCACCCAACAGGGAAAAATATCAAGCGTTTAACAGAGGAAAAAATAGAACAATTTGGTGAGATCATCATTAAAAGTAATCTTTTGTTCTTCTATAATCATTCTAGAAGTGACTATAACTGTGGAAATTATAATCCAGGAGAAAATACTCTGGAAATTATAGAATGCATTGCAAACATCAGCATTTCAAAGTTACTCAGCAGATGTTTAATCTATTCTGTTCTTCTGGTTTCTGCTTTATTATAACTACCATTTTCTTTATAACATTCTTGTCCAGAGTCCTTGAAATCATATAAGAAACTAATGCAAAATCATTACAGTTTTTGTTAGATAACAAAATGAATAATAATGAACTAGATATGAGGTAAAACAACTTGTGGGAAAAATTCTGCTCCTGATGGAACCCTGCCCTGCTTACTACACTGACATTAACTTGTTTGTTTCTTTGTTTGTTTTTAATTTAAAGTTTAATGTTTTATGAATATGTAATGAAAAATGGACTTCAACAACTAATTAGAAAACCAAATTAATGTAAGTCATATAGTTAGCTATTTATATGAAATTTCACTAGAAGATGTGAAACTAGAAGTTTTTTGACTTGTTCAAGAGATGTGTGTCAGTGGAATAGTTCAGAGCTGGACATATAGTTGAAAGAGACTTCGCAGACAGTGACACAGATCTGGCAAAGTTTTAAATCATATACTTTTCAATTTGTATCTCTGCTATAAAAAAAATATAACTCTGTGGATTTTTTTCTGTAATCTTCACTTTGTACTCGACTCCTGACAATATGAACATTGATCACTAGTAGTCTACTACAACAGTTTATGTTAGTCTGGCTGAACAGTAAACTCTTATATATATGTCCCAAAATTTGTAACATCAATCTTGACCCAGAAGTGAACCAACAAAATAATCCATCTGAACATGAGCAATACCCATCCAGATTTTATCCTAATGAAGATCATGCTAAAAGCATATTCTCATTTAATGTTTAGCAGGTACTGAGAATGCTAAAACATACTAGTGCTTAACAACTGTGTTTATTACACAACAATCCTAATGATCTTATTTATCCAACAACCCATTTTCTTTGTGTATAAAGTAACAGTGACCAGATAACTTAAAAAAATTGCTTCCTAATCCTACAAACATCACAGTTTTTGATATTACACACACAGAAGAACTTAGATCAGTATTCAAGTAAAATAATCTGAACAAGAAAACTTTCATTTGCCTGATTGGCTGAACCCCTTTTCCTATAAATTTATCTACATAATGGGATTAAAGTGCCTCCTAAACTATTATAGACAAATTTGATTCATTCCCTCAGTATTTTCTAAAAGCCATTGTCTAATTTATCCACTCTATCCAAAGTCATGTGTAAGTCTGAGAGCAATTTTGTTACATATTAAACATTAACTATTATTACAGATAGTATTGAGACTGTTAATATTAATTGTTAATTACCTATTAATAAATATTAACTATTAACTATTAAATATTAACTATTATTACATATAGTACTGAGACTGTTAATATTAATTGTTAATGTATTAGAAATACTTAAGATTGATAAATAATTATCCACAGAACCTGCCTTAATTAACAGCGTTAGAGTATTATGTCTTTAATCTTTGGTACATATCTGTAGTAGTATAAAAAGACATCTATAGTCTTACTGTATACTCTACATGGCATCTCAAGTCACTTTCCTGTTTTGCCCCCCTTGCCAAATAGGATATTTGTTAGGTCACATTATCTCTTGTTTTATATTCCTTTTTAGACAATCCAAACTGCGGCATCTTAATCAAGATCCATCATTTCAGATGATGATGATGTGATTGTCAAATTTTCTAAGGGTATAAGGAAGTTTAAGGTTCTCCAGCTTGTTTATCTCTGTAACGACCTGATAGATTAGTATGGGATCATTCATCAGTCTGGTAATATCCAAGACAAAGCATCTGTAACATTTCACCAAGGCATCTTTTTTTCCTTGATCTCTTCTCCTCCTTCAATTCAATCTGATAGTATCAAGATATCACATCAAAACTACTAACAATTTTTGCTACTGCTGTTTCATCTATGGTGTCAGTTATGCTAATAACTGTCTTGAGCTGTTACAGAG